GCTACTCGCCAAAGTAGTAGGTGGAACAATGTTTTGTATAGTATGTTATGCCAATTGAGCTTGATGAGTGACTGGAGTCTTAAAAGCTTTTGAGCAGCCATCTAACATGCAATTATTGGTTTCCCTTCATCTGAAGCAAAGAAGAGTGAAGAAAATCAAAGGCATCTAGAAACAATTAGTCCAAAGATAATATGGACCACAAGGACTTAAGCCTTCACAACCCGAGACCAGAAGAACTGGATGGTGCCTGGCTACCAATAACAACTACTTGGAAAGGGATCAAAACTGGACATCCTGGATAGAGCAGGAACAAAAATGTGGAACAAAATTTAAAAACACAAAAATGACCAGAATTACTGGTTGGATAGATTCTGGTGAAACCCCCAAGACTATGGCCCTGGGTTACCCTTTGGGCCTAGAAATGGACTCACTCCCATGGATTGACTCTAAGCCCAACAGTACAAAGATTTACATGCAGAACACCTACCCCAGGGCGATGCACCCACCTGCTCTAGGGAGATGCACCCCTTAGATCAATCAGCCATGAGACACCAAGACTGACAGCATTCACATAGAGGGAAAGCTGGACAGATAGAAATGCCTAGTCGAGAAGAGCACAGGGAGGGGGTAGTCACAGGGATGGGGTAGTCACAGGGAGGGGGTAGTCACAAAGTTGGAAGGGGAGGAGAGTTATATGATTGGGGATGGTAATGGGGCATGAAATCAAATATGCATGAACTGTTGAATATAAAACAAATTTGCTTTGTAAATTTGCACCCAAAGCACAATAAAATTTAAAAAACAAAAAACAACCCTATCAGGCAGTTCTATTTTGTCCTATAGGGTCACTATGAGTCAGAATCAACTCTATGGCAGTGAGTGAGCTACACCTTAAGTAAAAAACATTTACTGAGGCTTCCTTTGGATCTGAAATTCAAACTGGTTGTCAATGTTGGTTATGGTATAGTGACTGGAGAGATAGGAGTAATTAGGCATTGTGTATGGGACTCGAATACGTTTGCTAATTGGACTTCCCTGCTATGAATCTCATTCAGGCCTGATTACTTTTCTAGTGAAATTCTTTTTCCTTAAAATACTTCACTTTAGGTTTATTTTGCTTTTCAGGACAAAGTATAACCAAGTGTAGAGTTTTAATATTTAACAAGATAACAAAATCCTAATTAGGAAATAAGTTTATACTTACCACCATTTTATTAGAGTTTGGATCATAATTAATGATAACATAAAATAGAAATAAAGAGACTCCAATGGAAAATAACATTTCTTGAGGTCCAGAGCTTTTATTAATTTTGCTTCCATTAGAAGAGTGTTTCATTGGCAGTTTTAGTGTTTTGCTTTGTTTGGTTTTTCTTCATTCAGTGTGCAAAATATTCTTCAAACAAGATTCAGGTATCAGATTCTCAATAACTGGTAATTAATAAAGAGTCTTTTGTATGCCTGTGCATAAGCAATCCAGTGGTTAATGGCTTAAAAGTCATGCAGTGTATTCAAGTTAAAGGCATAGCACTCTACTTCATTAACAATGTCAAGCAACCCTAAACAAAATATCAAAAACAACTAAAAAAATCAGAGTCTCTCAACCCCAAGGGCATCTCTGGAAGCTACTTTAACTCTTTTAGACAATAGGAAGATCTGTCACTAATGTCAGGATTTGAAGGAATGTGCTAGAAGCCTAAATGAATGAAGCTTTTAAAAAACTAATCTGAGAGAATTTAGCTTAATATTTATCTTTGGACAGTCCCATCATTTAAAATAAATGATCAATTGTCAAGGGAAAAAAGGGTGGATAGATAGATAGAGATAGATAGATAGATCGATAGATATTAATCCCAAAACGTGAGTTAGGTTTATTTTCTCTTTATTTTCAGGCCACTGGTCACTTTTCCTGTGAACCTAGACCCACTCCTGGGCACATACATGTTTATCACATCTTCAACCAACTCCTTCTTCTTTAGGAAAGGTGTTCTTAGAAGGTGAGAATATGCATCTGAAAGTAGAAAAAAAAAAAACCCTCATTATTAGGTCACCAAATTATTTTCAGATCAATGAAATACCAATCAATTGTTTTAAAAAGAAAATTTGCCATCTCTCACATTCTACTATCAAAATTATGTTAAGTGTATTGTTGTAGCATATATGTAAATTTGTGTTTATGCAAGTTTTTGTGATTTCTGCTATTTATACAATCCAAATTAAATAAATTATAATAAATATGTTCTTATTAACTAAATATGCATTAAATATTTTTGATAAAAAGTCATTATATAATTTAATATAGAGAGTTTAAAACATTCATAATATAATCGTTCCAGAGATAACCATAGTTTTATACAAACATACTTTATACCATAATTTATTTAACCATTACTCTATTGTGGAACATTTAGGCTGTTTCCAACTTTTCTATTACAAATTTTTATTACTATACTGTTACTAATACTAATACCCAGTGATACCACTGATCTGCATCTGTCAAGATTACAGTCAAGAAAACATTTTGAATTCTATTTTGTAACACATGAGGTCACCATAAATTAGAATCGGCTCAACAACTAACAACTATTTTTATTACTATAATTACAAATGACAAATTACATTCATTATTCCTATTAAATAATACTGCGATGAAGGGCCTTGTATGGCATCTTTGGCTACATCTCTGAGTGATTTCCCAGAATAGATTTCTAGATGGGTAATTGCGAAGTATGTTGTTTCAGAAGTTTCCTGCAGTGAGCAAAGTAGGGAATCAAACATTTATCAGTCTAATTACTTATATTTATCACTTTTTTCCTCTCTTGCTTAACGTTTAAAAAATAAACACTATGAACATTTGCCATAGTTAGACATCAACTGCAAACACCATTCAATTAAATCCAAAGTTAAATTTTCTCATCATGGAGGAAAAACTCCTAATTTTTTTGGAACACACAAACTTCCAGGACCAGAAAGGCAGGTTTTTCTGTCCTTCTGAGTGGCACAGTGACACTTGTTACTAGAAGAGTCCACTATTCCTGAATAAAGAAGGATGCACTTCAAAAAGGTCTTCTTCATTTGCATTGAAGTTTCTATGGCAGTCCCTGAGTTAAACTCAATTCTGTTATTTTCTACTTGGGAGTTACCATCAGCTTTCTCTTCCCCTAAATAAATTAAGGTTGGGCAATCCTACTTCCGTAGTGATACTGCCTCGGAAACCCAAGGAGGGGTCGCTATGAGTCGGGGCCGACTCGACGGCACATAACAACAACAACAACAACAAATAAATTAATCAATTTCTATCTCTATCTCTTCCTAACTCTTTCTCTGCCTTGACCCAATCCATTGTGATCCAGTGGCTGAGTCTGGGTACACACTCTTCACACTTTTCCAGGTAGTACAATATTCAGTTATTAGCCCACGTCTTTCTAAACTAAATGTTGTTAGTTGTTACCTAGGCAGAAACTCATGGTGACTTTATCTATAACAGAACTAATTGTTGCCTGGTCCTGCCCCATCCTCACAATTATTGGTATCTAGACTAAATAGCAATGGACTTGTGAGTCTTTTCTGAGACGGTGACATCTCTAGAGCTCAAGTTTTTTGTAACTTTCATTTCTGGATCACCTCTGTTCCTGTCCTTCATCCTTATAAACTGCCACAGTGTCCAGATCATGAGCAGTACGGTCACCTATCCTTGGGTAAAGCTCTTCCTGATTCTTTCCATAGATAAGTATGTGCTCTTTGTGCATTTATTTTTTATAGAATCATAGAACATTAGAACACAAAATCTGAGGAATCATCATGAGTCATCTAATTCTTTCTATACCCCTCTTTCTCAATTGAAGAAAACATCTAAATAAGTTACTTGCCCAAGGTTACATAGCTATTTGATATTTTTTGTTTCCATTTTTGTTGACCCCATATTAACAAATATATGAACATACTAAGTTATATGGATGCTGTATGTTTTTAAGATTGCATGATTCATAACAAGATTTTTCAAATGTGTTCAAACTTTGAGTTGAAGACATCAAAAATAACATGTTTGCATACTTTGCAGACACTTATTTTAATTCTCCTCTTCTGCCCCGATGATGTGATTTTGCTGAGAACTTCAGAGACAAGGACCTCTTCACCCTCACTCCCACCCCAACCTGGCAGCAGCATACAAATTCCCCAGGGACAAAAGAAAAAATTAGCAGAAGATGACATGCAGGTACATCCAGAGCCCATTTGAGCCACTAGAGATTCAAGCAAGCCTCTTGAGATAAAATCTCAATGTTCCTGTAACTATTTAACTTTTGGATGTGGTGTCTCCTTGACCCAAGATTATACAATCCAAAAGGAGAGTCTTATTTCCTGATCTGCAAACAATTGTTTGCGTCAAACTTTAACTTCAGTGAAGTGACATGTTCACTCCTGCTTCTTGCATAGCATCTCCTGTTGAAGTTTACAGACCAGCTGAGTCAATAGCAACTCTGCAGTAAGGTGAAGGAAGTGTCTTCCAAAGCTGAAATTAAAGCTACCGCATTTTTTTTTTTCACCAAAAGAAGATAGAAATGCCATGCTACACCAGGGTTTGTAAGCTACATGTCCCCTCAGGCTATTCTGATACCATTGCTGCCAGCACTCACTACCATCGAATGGATCCCGACTCATAGCCACCCCTCCTCTTGGGTTTCTGAGGTGGTATCTCAATGGAAGTAGATTGCTCAGTCTTCCTTCCTTCCAAGGAGTGGCTGGTGGATTTGAACTGCCAACCTTCTGGTGAGCAGTCAAATGTCTTAGGCACCTTGTCACCAAACTGAAATCTGTTTTAGAGAAAATGTATACAGCTTTAAATGAGAGACCAAATTTAACTACAATTTCATGTTCATGTTCAGGTAAACACAATGTTATTTTCATTCATTCTGTACCATACTTTTTTAGAGTTAAAGTGAGTGCAAATGAGGGAAGAAAATGGTAATGATTTGAGTACAACAGCTAATATGGTAAAAATGGAAGAAAGGGCTCTACTGACCACCCCCAGCAGCACAGATGAATCAAACTGATGGTCCTTACTTATGCTGATGTCTGGACAGTCTCCATCAAAAACCATTTTATATATTTGTAACCAACATTTAAAAACACCCATTTTCTATTTCTACTTTAATACCTAAAACTTCTGAGAGAATATTTCCTCTAAAAAAAGGAAATTGGTCTAAGTTATAATGAGGAGCTCTGGTGGCATGGTGCCTAAGGCACTTGACTGCTAACCAGAAGGCTGGCGGTTCAAACCCACCAGCCACTCCTCGGAAGGAAGGTTGGGCAATCCTACTTCCGCAGTGATACTGCCTCAGAAACCCAAGGAGGGGTCGCTATGAGTCGGGGTCCACTCGACAAATTATTATATATATAATATTATTATATAATAATACAAATTTATATATATTTTTTTATTATTTATTTATTTATTTATTTAAACTCAGTGCCGCTGAGTCAGATCTGACTCATAGCGATCCCTCCTTGGGTTTACAAGGTGGTATCACTACAGAAGTAGATTTTCCCAACCTTCCTTCCAAGGAGTGGCTGGTGAGTTTGAATTGCCAGCCTTCTGGTTAGCAGTCAAATGCCTTAGGCATTATGCCACCAGAGCTCCCAATAATACTAATAGTACTGGACTATTATTAATAATAATAATATTGGCCTAAGGCACTTGACTGCTAACCAGAAGACTGGCAGTTCAAACCCACCAGCCACTCCTCGGAAGGAAGGTTGGGCAATCTACTTTTGTAGTGATACTGCCTCGGAAACCCAAGGAGGAGTCACTATGAGGAAAGGAGTTAGCTTGCATTATTACTGTTAATGCACATGCTAATAAACAAAAAACAAACAAAACTCACTGCCTTTGAGTCAAATCTGACACACAGCAACCCCTCTTTGGGTTTCTGAGGCAGTATCTCTACAGAAGCAGATTGCCCAGTCTTCCTTCCTTCTGAGGAGTGGCTGATGGGTTTGAATCACCAACCTTCTGGTTAGCAGTCAAATGCCTTAGGCACTATGCCATGTTAATAGAGATATATAAATACACTACAATTCTCATAATAAAATACACAAATGCAAAGATTAGCTATGGCTCAATTTTCCTATGATACATAAATAATCCTAAGAGTTATTGCCATCTACACAGCACTTCTGCAAAGTTTAGAAACTTATTGGTTAAATTATATCAAAAAAGGAGCAAAAATAATATGAATAGGGCTAAGGCATCTCTTTACTCATTCACTGGGACTCACTTTCCCTTACTTTAATTTTATAAGAGATATTTCTTCTAATACCCCATATAAGACTACATGAGAATGTAATATATACTTCAGTGAAAATTTCTTAATTGATAGAAAGTTCCAACCTACATAAAATCAATTACTCAGTTAGCTGGAAGTCAATTACTTATTTGGGATTTGTGTAAAAATCAATAGGAAATGAATTTGAATGTCAGTTGATTTTTCTATTCTTTATTTCATGAACTAACTACTTCTCAAATAGTCCCTCCATTTTCATGAAAGTGATGCTTTCCTTTTGTTTCTTCAGTAGAAAGAGGGCAAGAACTTGTGTGTTGTGAATGTTCCCCAGGCTAACATTCAAATTGTCATAATTTCATAGCAAATGAACTGTCAGTTTCTTACTGTCAATCTTCAGACTAATGTGGAAAAGGTGTCAATTTGGGGGCTTTTACGATGTATTTTGGGATCATGCATTTCCTTGCTTGTCTTTCAGGTTCTCCTTGGCTGTTGTTCACATGAAGTGTGAGCATCAGGACAATACAGTAATAAATACAGCTATCATGGGGTGCAAAAGGGGGTGCTGTCTACTTTCCTATGCCATGTGTGCTCTGGGGGTGCACACCTTGAGAAGCACGTATGTAGTAATGGATTTCCCTTTCCCTCTTTATTATAATTTAGTACATTCATACTTGATTGACACTTTGAAAAACATAGGACCTGACATTGACCACCTTGTTTACTCCTTGTGTGCCCTGACTGTGCTGCTGAGATTCTGTCTTCCTCGCCAGCCAATTGCCTCCTTCCCAAGCCGTGGTTCCTGGAGAGGACACAGTCCACATAGATGTCCCAGAAGAGTTGGGCTAGATCCCAGAACAGTGCCCCATGCTTCAAGTTCTCAGATGACTTCAGATAGATCATAAAATCCCAGAAGCCTGAAACAGTGTTGGAAATGCGAGGCTTCTGCATTTCCAAAAGAAGCACTGAAGAGGATTCCCAGCACTGAGGATCAGCTTGGTGAAGAGCCAGCAAGTCTGTCTGGCTATGACAGAAGAAAGGAGACACACAGCATATTCCCACAATGAGCAGGGAACAGGTGAGGCTCAGGGGGCGGTGAATCCTTCCTCGGCTCCCAGACTCAACCATGGCCTTGAAACTGCACAGGATGGAAATAACTCAAATGAATGCCTGTATTTACTCCACTCGGTATATAAAATAATTGTGCCCTTAAGAGCCTTGGTACCAGCAAAGGAAACCCACCAGTCTCTAAAATGAGAAAAGTCTTATCCCATCTTCCATATCATAGGCAGCATTTTATTTATAATGATTCCTTGCCTAACTAGGTTGTATAAAACCATGATATCATTTAGGCTAAGAATTACCTATTTCTAAGATGTGCTCCTTTCTAAGATGAATAAGTAAAATTGCTTTTCCTGATGCAGAGGAATATAGATTTAAAAGAGAATAACTTGGGGGCGGGGAAAAAAAACTTGATCCATGACTTTTGTTGTTGTTATGTGCCATCAAGTCGGACCCGACTCACAGTGACCCCTCCTATGAGGCAGTATCACTACCGAAGTAGATTGTCCAACCTTCCTTCCAATCCATGACTTTACATCATCTCAGTGAAGCTACTATCCTAATCCCAGATTCTTATGTAATTAAAATATGTTTTTTTTTTTTTTTTTAACTCTTGGATGCTTTCGTATTTAGGATGACTTTTAACTTTTAAAAAGATATCAGAGTTGAGAAATGTTATAAATATAAAACTCAGCACAAGACAGTGTGCTAAAAGTATGGGCAAATATAGGTGGGATTAAGGGACGTATGTTCAGTTAATTAGGGCAGAATCAATAGAAACTTTGCAAACACCCAAAATATTCTGCGATTCTGATGTAACTTGCCTCCAGATTGTATTTTCTCATCTCTCTTCTTGCTATAAATTTCAAGGATTTTAAAGAAAATTATTTGCCACTCATTCCATTCTTCTGGCTCTCAGTGTCTATTGCAATAAAATCAAGGCATCCACAAACCACTTTGGAATGATTCTTGTTACCACGTCAGACAAGTGCAATGAGAAATAATGCCCTTAAATTAATAATAGCTTAAGTTTTCCTTTTTTCCAGAAAAAAACTTATCTAAGTTCTCACAGACTATATACTATGTATATTACATTTAAACAACTCTTACACAAAGAAAAAATAGAGGAGGGGCATATATAGATCTCACTTTCCATTTTACACATTCAAGCCTTTTAGGTATCACTAATCTTATCATCAAAGCAGCAAGGCACAGCTCCTGGGAATACGTCTGTATCGGAACATTTAAGGGCAGCACCATTATATGGTATCTTTTCCCACAGCAGCAGGACGTATTGAAGCACTGTCAAATCGACATTTCAAGAACTATTTTGAAGCAATTTGTTTGAGAGACAAGATTATTGGAAAGTATTTCCTCTGTCTTTCAAATGTCTCTGTCGGAACAAACTTATATTCTATTTCTCCCCGTTTGAACTAAAATATGGAAGTCGAAGGTCCCCAAAGATCAGGGTTTTCCGTAGAGGGCAACTTGAAGCTGTTAGCCCTACCCTTACCAGAAGGCCCAGGCGGGGCGCTGTCTGTGGTGCTGAAGTTGGCGCTCTCCAGGACTCAGCGGACCCTGCCTGCTGGCGCCGCAGCGCTCCACTGGCTCCTGCAGGCACCCTGCTCTTAAGTGAGTCTTTCCCGAGCCTGAACCGGGGCTTCTCCAAGTTCCTTCTCCAGCCCTGCGGTCCTCCACGTGACCCGCGCTACTGGCTCCGCGCTGGGCTCGAAGCGCCTAAGACCCGCGCCTGGTCCTGCAATGTCGCCCTTCTCCAGGGGGAGCTGCCTGAGATCCGCTCTGTCCTAGTGCCCCACTAGCTTCCTTACTCCGAGGTTCTGTCCCCAGGACGCAGAAAGGGCGCCGTCTCCCGCACTTACCAGCGCAGCGCTCTTGGTGTTCCTCGAGTGGACGGAGAGGAAATGCCCAGGCTGCTTTCTGAGCGTGTGACTGTCCCGAGCTTCCGAGTTCTGAAGGCGACACACTGCCTCTTCTTAAGCTGTGGGAGTGAGTGTTCTGCGCCTCTTCAAGTGTACGTCAAAGCACTGGGAAACTCGGCCACTCATCTCCCCTCAAGGCATCTCCCGCCCCCCTCCTCTTTCCCCGCTCCCTCGAGGATTTGGACTCAGGAGACCACAAACAGCCTCCTGGACCCTGGTCCCTCGCCACCCTCCGCCCGACAGAATTGAGGCTTCGTGCGGTTGGGCTTCCCAGACCTACCTCCGGGGAGAGGCGCTGCCTACAGGGCTGCAAATTTGGGACCCAGCTCTGCGCGGGTCTAGGAGCGAGGGGGCTCCCCACCCCCTGCTCTCTAGGTGTACCTCGTCTGAGAATAAAGGAATGTGAGAGAAACCCGGCATTCTTGAGGTGGGAGGAGGGAAATGGGCGCCCTCCCTGCGGTCACCAAGGTCCCGGGAGAAATGAGGTGCTTCCCCAAGACGTTCTGGGCGTGAGCTCTTCTTTCTGAAAGGTAGCCTAGGGCTGGGAAGAGAAAACCTCCCTTGAGCAGGCTTGTAGTAGGAACACTGAGCAGCTGGAACTTCCTCTAACTGGGGCCAGTGGCTCCTTTATGCCCAGGCTCTGTGGCCTGAGTTACCTCAGGAGCCCCTCTTGTTGGTGGTATCACTTTTGTTAGTCTGTGGCTCCAGATTTCACAGTGGGGTCGCTGCTTTCCAGAGAAGAGGTAGCAGCTGGAATTCCTTAGAAATTTTCCTCACAGCTGGTTAGAGTTCTGTCTCGGGGTGTAGGGGGTGCTCTGCTGAAACATTAGCAACCACTGTAATTGAAACACACTCAGCTCAGGTGCCTGAGGCATAAGTCCTTCCTTTGCAAGTGTTTCCAGGCTTTGCTCCACGCCTCATGCCTAATCTTCAAGACGTCCTGAAAACCACTTGTAGTCTCCATTAACTGAAGGCTTTTGTGCCAACTCAATAGTATCCATGGTTACCCTCCAGAGGGGCACAGGGAGGCACCCAGGCTTATAGCACGGTTTACCAAATCACGGAGGAAGCCCCCCCCCCCACACACACACACAAGTGATAGGAAGGAGGACCTCTGAAGAGGAGTCCTGAGCGATTCTCGGCTTTTCCTCCTGCTCTGAAACTGGATGGAGTGAATGTCAGTGTCTCCATCTGTGAACTGGGCATACCAATGCAATTTCTATTTATCCCTGGGGATGTGGTAAAAGATCACTTAGCTGAGGTCTCGGACTTGCTTCCTGCCTGACACAGCTCCAACCTACAAGGAGCTCACAGTCTTTTAAAGAAGGTCACCAGAGAAACAGGACATTTTAACAACACAGTGTGAACACAGAGGTAGAGATTGCCAAAGAGTCCATTTTGACCCATAGCGACTCCCATCAGGTTTCCAAGGCTGTAAATCTTTATGGAAGCAGATTGCCTCATTTTTCTCCCTCAGAGCAGCTGGAGAGTCTGAACCAGTGACCTTTGGTTAGCAGCCAAATGCCTCAACCTAGAGGCAGAGATTGTTGTTGTTGTTGTTATTTGCCGTCGAGTCGGCCCGGACTCATAGCAACCCCTCCTTGGGTTTCCGAGGCAGTATCACTACGGAAGTAGGATTGCCCAACCTTCCTTCCAAGGAGTGGCTGATGGGTTTGAAACGCCAGCCTTCTGGTTAGCAGTCAAGTGCCTTAGGCACTATGCTACCAGAGCTCCCAGAGATAGAGATTAGTATTGGAAAACTCTGAGGGGGGGGTGGTGGTGAGGCGGCAGGAAGGGAGCAGAGAAGGCATGTTGGAGGAGGTGAACTTCCTAAAGAAGGAAAAGGAGTTCTATAGGTTTCCTGGGGCTAAAGGAGGGGGGTCTTCTCCAGGCAGAGGAGAGAAGATGAGCAAATGGAAAAAAAAAAAAAAAACCCTCAACTGCAATTGACCCCACTCATAGTGACCCCTCCTTGCATTTCTGATGCAGTATCACTATGAAGTACATTGCCCAACCTTCCTACCGAGGAGTGGCTGGCAGGTTTGAACTGCCAGTCTTCTCGTTAGCAGTCAAATGCCTTAGGCACCAGCAGTTCCCCCTTCTGGAGAGCAAAGTCACAGAAAGGGAGTGGAGACCCAGAAGGCAGAACAAAGGTAGGGATGTGAGTGGTTCGATTTGGTTTTGGACATGTTGATAGTTACAGTACCCATGAAAAGATCAACACATAAGTATACCAATATCAGTTGTTGTCAAGTCCATTCCAATTCATACAGTGCTTAGTTTATTTTCAAGGGTCTATGTGTCAACCAGAGTCTCTGCGTGGTGCAAATAGTTAATGATAACACATGGAAAATAGAATGGTGTCTACATGCAGCAAGAACTTGACAAATGCTAGTTAGTATTATTGTTTGCTTGTTTTACCTTTTGCTGGTACTCACCTGAGTGAACTTAGGAGAAAACAATGGCCAATCATCACACTGGTTCAGTTGTTAGAGCTCTGCTGAGCAGATGCTGATGAAGGATAAAGATGGAAGGGAATCAAAGGTAGAAAGAGGAAGAAACTTGGAGCAGGGAGATGAAAGACTGGAAGGAAAGGGAGGACCTGGAGGTCTTACTGGAGGGAAAAAAATAACAGATGGAAGGGTGCC